CCCCCCCCCTTCTCATGACGTGTCCGATAATCCTTAACATTAACTTCAGTATCCCGCGTGTGAATCCCTAGTAGTTTGTTCTTTTTGTTTTCTGTAGGTGTTTTACGCCACGATCAACACAACTTAGATCATGTAGGAGGAGGGTGTGACTCCCTGTTTTGACATACTTGGAATGACTGTACAAAACACCACAATGAGCATATCCAAACAGTCTAAAATATGACAATATCAGAGTTACTTCAATTCTACAAATTGAAGGTCGAAAAACTGACTTCTTGTAGAGTAAAGGGCTAAAAATTCATAGCAAGGCAATAAAATCACGTACATGGGGAAAAAACAACCTTTTCATAGATAAAAGCGCGATTGAAACACCTAGAAAACTAGAACAAAAGTTGATACATCTAATACAGAAAAACCTTATGTTTTCCTTTTGTCACTAGAGGTAAAACAGGAAGTTCATTTTCAAAACAAAATCATCCACTTGTTAAAACAAAACATTGACCTTCACCCTTACAAGAGAGGTCAAGGTGAACAGCCTAATGCCCCCTGCAATGCAATGTTTCCTAAAAGGTCATCGACCGAGGGAGGGGGGGGGGTTGCATTGTTTGTCGTTTTTTTCTTTTACAATTTCTTAATATACCTTGGATCACAACATCAACAGCAGTAAAAGAAACATTGTAGGGTAGACGTATTTGCTATTTTATGGCGAGTAAGATTTGGACATTACAAACAATGGTTCCAAAACTGTTATTCTAACGAAGGCAGGCTTTTCCCATTAAAAAGAAACTAGCAAAGACAAAAAAGTACAATATATGTTATTTGATAAAGTGCAGTTAAGGTCAAAAGATACTTAATCAACAGTAAGAAATTGAACAAGTAAAACAGAAAAAAAAGAAATAGCAAAACGTTGTCTTCTGCACTACATAAGTTTATAAAAAACAAGCACAAAGATACTGCTGTTATTCTAAAATGGGCGGAGAATCTACGATAAGAAAATGGGCGGGGTGTAAGGTACAGAAAGTGGCGTGGTCGGCATCTGCACGTGACATGGGGAGTTGGGGGGCAGCATGATGGCTGTGGCAGCTGGAAGTGCAGGGCGGGGCTTGTAGGCGGGGCTTGACGCCTTCGAGCGAATGGACGCCGACGGAGGGGGCGTGGCTTTCGTCACAGACTGCGGCCGCCCGCCGAGCCCGCTTGGCGCCCTCTGATTGGACCGCTGCGTGACGGGCGGGGACTTGTTGGCAGCAGAGCCACTCCGGCTGTGTGACAGGGGCGGAGTCTTGTTGGCGACAGAGCCACTCCGGCTATGCGAGTGCGGGCTGGGGCAGAAAGGTCTCTCGTAAGAAGGCGGGGCGGGAGGCGGAGCCATTGCGGAGGGGGCTCCACCGTATTCGTCCAAAAGTCTGCCGATCAGATCCCTGTCTAGAAGGGGGAAGGTTGGGGGAGAAAGAAAAGTAACAGCTGTGCCACTGCAAGCCAAATCTGAGCTCACACCTCGATACCAACCACAGCAACAGTAACAACAATAACATTGTGAGAAAAATGCCAATAAAGCCAGCAGGACAAGGACAACAACAAGAGCAGCAGCAACAACAACAACAACAACAGCAACAGCAACAACAACTGCAGCAGCAGCAACAACAAAAAAAACACAGTGACAACAACGACAGCAACAGCAGCAGCAACAACAACAACAGCAACAGCAGCAGCAACAGTAACTAAAGAAAAGACAACAACAACAACAACAACAACAACAACAATAACAACAACAACAACAACAACAACAACAACACGGATACAATTTTCAATGAAAACAGTGACAATGTCAACAAAAGAAGGTGTGCAAAGGAAAAACTCCTTCAAGCTGTGCTGCACTAAAACGAACAAATCAATCCATGCATGTTTGCCTTCAGATTTCAAATGACTTTCAAGTTGTGTAACTAGTCTATCAATGGGGATTAGAATAGGATCATATGTATCATCATCATCATCACCCAGAGCCAGATCTGCGACAGAACATTGGTTTTCCATTCATTCCTTTGCTCGGATGCTCTCAAAAAAGCTACGTTTCCCTGATCTTTCCCTGTTTCCCATTTATTTAGGTTCCCTATGTATGTTGTTCTGGGTCTACCCCTGCCTCGCTTGCCCTCAATTTTGCTAGTGAGAGCTAGATGTTCAAGACCCTTATGTCTATTCAGGTGTCCAAAAAACAGCATTTGTCGTTTCCTGATTGTTTTTAACATTGAGCGTCCCACGTGGGCTTCATCAAGCACTACTTCATTTGATTTCTTTTCCTTCCACGATACTCTTAGCAGTCTCCTAAGAAACCAAATTTCTTTTGCTTCCATTTTATTTTCACTGTCTTAAGTGATTGTCCAGCATTCACAGCCATATAGAAGGGTTGACCAAACATAGCATTTCAGGACTTTCATTTTGGTGTTCATCGAGATGTTTCTATTTTTCAAGACTGGGCTCATTTTATTGAAACTAGCCTTAGCCATTGCAGTTCTCCTTTTTATTTATGTGGAACATTTGGCATCAGGTGTTATCATAATATATCCCAGATATTTAAACTGTTGGACTTGTTTGGTCTTTTCACCTTTGCAAATGAGTTTACAACTAGGAGTTGTTGCTTTTTTTGTGTGGATATTACCATGCATTCTGTTTTCTTTACATTCAACAATAATCCTTTACGTTCACTTTCTGTTACAACAGTATCTAGAAGCAATTGGAGGTCCTTTTCGGAGCCTGCAATTAAAACTGTGTCAGCTGCATACCTGATGTTAATATTTTCTCCATTTACTTTGAGGCCTGGACATTCTTCTATGTTTCTAATGATTGTGTCACTGTACATGTTAAAGAGGTCTGGTGACATAACACATCCTTGCCTCACTCCTCGCCCAATCCGCTTATTATATATTCACTGTATTCTCCATTAATTCGTATAGCAGCGTTTTGGTCCCAGTACAAATTTCTGATAATTCTTAGATATGTATACATATTATAATATTCAACATGGTATCAGTTTCGTGTTGGAATAAAGATCATTCGTTCCCATTCTATTTTCATCGTCTTCATATCTCTAGATCTAGTTATTGTTCTTCTACTAGACATGGCAAATGATGCTGTTCTAAAGTGAAAACTAGTTAAAAGAAGCAATAAGTAATCTAGGAAAATCAGAACGAAAGACTAAATTGCACGACAAAAAATTATTAAAAAGCTGCACAAAAAAACTGTGTGATGGTGTTGGAATAATAATAAGTGGGGGAAAAGGCGCATAGCCTACACTCCTACAGGCTGATGATTAGAGAGCGTCACAGGTAGGTCCTACTTTTTATCTTTCCCTCTGTTGTTTCTGTCTTTCTTACCTTTCCGCAACACTAAACTACCGTTATTGTGTAGATGTGTCTCTCTAAACTCAAACAAACATATTTGTAATATACCACGTTAAAAATAGGGACAAAATTAGCCATGACAAATAAAGCTTTACGAAATAAAACAATGATTTAAAATCAATACACGATACAAATGTTGGTAACAGTAAAGTTAAGTTTTGCCCTTCATGTCAAACTGTTTGACCTAATGTGCAATATCTGGGGTCACCATGAAAGTCACAGTGGGGTCACAGCTGTCTCAAGGTACAGGAAACAGCGGGTTGCGATCGCCGTAGACGTAGCTGTTATACTGTATTTTACTTTTAATTAACCAAATATTATTATAGAACGATGATCGAAAAACTAATTCATGACATCATCAAAACACACAAGATGTATTCACAATCCACTGACATTGGCGTGCTCACAATACTACTATAGATCTAGTCATAATCTATAACACAACTTCTTGTCCATAAATCTGGACTCTTTTTTATATTTACGGATAACTACTACTTAAAATCAGTATCTCTTTGATTTTATGCATTCTTCGATCAAAGGCAAATACATTCAAAATGTTTAAGATCAATCAGAAATTCTTTTGTGATGCTCGTTGACCAATGAAATTGCTATACCCATGTATACTGAAAAAACACTTGGGAGATGGGGAAACGGGAGGCCCAGTCCCTTACAAAGACAATGACCCATCTACATCATTAAAGTTTGAGTGAGCATGTGTGCGTGTGGGGAAGGGGGGGGGGTCAAAATAAGGAGATTTTGCTGAGCTGAGTAGAAGTACACTAGGAAAAGGCTTGAAGCCTTGAGGGAGCCTCCGATTCTTCAGAAAATTCCTTTTTTTTAATTTTCTTTTTTTATCCTTTCTTTCAGATGAACTCTTTGGAAAACGCCATTTGACAAATTGGTCGCTTTTAAGGACAAGCGGGCTAACCCAGATGTGGAGGTGGGGGGGTTCCAGAAATCTTGACCTACACCACCAAAAGCGGGCATTGCCCTACCTATAAGAGAAGTTTGGTTTCATTCATGTGTATATGGGTTTGGTTATAGAGAAAAACTCCCCTTGTTGTTTAAAGAAACTGAACAAGGGGCAAAAACTTTACCTTCGATTTTCTCAAAACAGCACCTTTCGGGATAGCCCCCTGGTGCTTAAAAGCGACCAATTGAGAATGGCATACAGTCAGTTGAGACATCAACACGCCAATAACCACACATCAGGGGATTGTGAACACAGCTCAAGCGTGTGCTGGTAAAGAAGCTGTCGTAAACAGTAATAAAAGAGAAAAAAAATGCCAGCAACAAAACAGCAAGAAAGGCATTCGAGGAGGTAGACCACTGACCTTGACCCACACTCTGCTGGTAGTACTTGCTGAGAGCCTCGGCCCCCAACTTACGGCCTACGTCACGGATCTGGTCCACCACAGGGCCGGCGTTGTCATTGTAGTGGCGGTCGTAGGTCGTACGTCCATTCACGCCGATCAGTCGTTTGTTGGCTGTGGGGACTAGGGGAGGGGGGTGGAGGGAGGGAAAAGACAAAGACAATTAATGGATTAGTTGATCACAAGTTTATTAGCCGTGGGTACTGGGG